ATATGTTTTTACGGCCTGTGCGTGACTTGAGCTCGGCTCTCGTTATTATTTGGTTATTGCCATAATCGCATTACAAGCTTTCAGACTGCATGTACGACAGTGTCATACTCACAGAAAAGTGATGTTTTAATGGCGTATAAAAGCTCAGAAACGCTTTCTCTGGCATGACTGCCAAGTGCAATGTTTGACATTCAGGACTTCTTTCCTTTGAGGTCATGCATCTACTCCATTTTGCTGCTGATTGATTAGGCCCCAACTCCAATTTATCAAGCCTGTTTCAATTAATACATCTCACACGCTCACACGCCTCTCCGTTTACACTCCTCACATATAAGCAGAGCGAACACTAACAGCGAAGACCACATGTGACAAAAAGATGGAATCTGTTGATAACGCAGCAAAAAAGATTGATTTATCAGGGTTAGCGCCGTCGTGTTTTCCCAATTAGAACATTCACAACAGGGAATGAGTGATTTATTATTGTATATATTCCATTTAGATAAGACTTTGTGTAAACCCTGGTGTTATTCCACACAAAGACAGTCACAAGAGGCTGACAACGTTGAAGAGAGATACAGCAGCAGAGAGAAGGAGAATGATTATTTAATACGGGGAACACAGCGGTGACATTTAGTTTGCTGGAATTCAGGATTAGCTTGAAGTGACTTCATTGCCTTTCTGTCTGCCGTCGTCAAACCTACTGACAGGCAAATCCAACTCTTCCCGGCACCGAACGCGTTTTCTTTCCAAAAAAATTATTCGGAAGCAGCGTGACAAGGTGGCGAACATGACAACTGTAATTATTTGTACCTGTCTAACTGATGAAGGGAAGTTAACAAACAAACAAATGCAAGTTCGTGCAGCACAAAAACTCAGCCATATTTACCTCCCGCTGTGTCATATTTGCAGTCGTCGTGGTTGTTTCGGTGTCAGGCTGCCTCTCGCTTTCGGGCCGGTTCTGTGGCATTAACAGTCGGCGTGTGCAATCTCGTGGACTCGCGGTGCCTTTGCCTCCAATGCGACTCGGTGTCAGTCAAACGGAGCCCTGCAGGAGGCCCGTCCTGTGGGGTAATGCATTTTAAATGGAGGGGGGCGCGACCCTCCGTCCCCTCGCTTTTGCCCACGCCTCATTACCTCCCCACTGATTGATAAATATTGAGCCGCCGCGGACATGTGGGCCGAGTGGCTTTGCGGAATTAGACACATGATGTAGTTGGCTGGTGGTTCGTTTGCTCGGCGCGGATAACGAGCGCCCGCGATTGTAAATGAGGCCTGCATGCCTCGGTGTGTTTCTGGGTTTAAATAAAGGTTGAATAAGTGTTGTCAGCTGGGCGCCATGCACTGGAAGGTTTTCGCTGTGTGTGTTTCTGCACTGTTGGTATTTTTTTATTCTTTTGTTTTGCTGGTATTTCAATATGTTCTCCTCCATTAGAGCAGGATTTTAAATCTGTCCTAAAACAACGTTCACACGCCTATAGAGGGTTTGATCACTGTAATTACTCCTGGTGTTCATCCTGGCCATTAAAAACCCCTTTAAACGCACTTAAAGCCGGTGATGAGGGACGAAAAATGATCATTTTGGCAGTTGGGCCAATTAAACAGATATCTTCCGGGGTTTTTAGAAGAAATTTCCTCTTTTTCTTTGTCCTTCCTTTGCATCATGTGTACTTTAGTTTCTTTCTGCTGATCAATGGGACTAGTTTTTTTTTATTTTTTCCAACATCTGTGCAGTCATTTTGCCATCAGTTGTTTTCTTCAATGACAAACACGTTGGCTTTACTGTAGTTCGACTGCAGCAGTGTTGGATTCATGAGTTAGTGCATGACAGACACAGCACATCTTTCTAAATGGAGTTGTTCGTGGACTCTGTTTTTAAAGAGAGCTGCAATGACTCATTGTTTGATCTATTAGTTGTCAGCCATTAGAATAATCTTCAACTATTTTGATCCCAAAATAGTATTTTCTGTTTTTTTTTCTGCTCCTCTTGGACAGTAAACTGGACATCTTTGAGTTGTGGGATCGATATTTTTCACTACTTCCCAGACCAAACAGTGAATCCACTAAACGAGGAAGATTAATCGACTCTGGAAGCGATCCTTCGTTGCGGACCTATTGCCAGTGCAGTCAAGGATGCTCCAGACTTCGAGAGAGTCAGCTGAAGCGAGTAGACGCCAAAGGCTACCTCGAAAGCAGACGACTCTGTTAAAGACATCGGTGACCTTGGCTAACGTATATATTTTTTTGAAAACACACCCTGCAGTGACGGGAAACTTTATAGGTATGATTCCTGTGTGAGGAACACAATAAACCTCCTCATTCACCGAAAGTCACAAAAAGTAACGCAAAAGTCACATATGGATGACACATGGGTGTCTGCAACATGTTTTTTTACATCCCCACACTCCTGCAGTCGAGCGGCGAGGCAGACGCACACACTCCCCACGCTAGATTGTCTTTTGTGGGGCAGATGTTGGGTTTGTGTGTCCAACCGAGAGCGCAGACCTAATTAAGACTGACGAAACACATCATTTTATTTGGCTCTCTTTACTCTTTGGCCTCGCTTTGATCCGATGATTATTACCAGCTCTTTGGCTCTGTCGAGGACCGGAGGGCGGGGAAGCATTGTGTCTCATGCTGACAGCTCCCAAACAAAATAACCCCCCCTCCCCAGGTTGTTACAGCTGAAACTCCCAGCTGGGTTGTCAGCGGTGAGGTCAGTAAGAGAATCCAGCTGCCTGCTGAGGTTTGTTCCTCTGCTGTGGATTAGCACCAGCCAACCATCTGCTGGTGTCCTGCAGTGTAATACTGTACATGTGCATGCTGTGTATACAGTACATGCACACATAGAGGACAGACACTGGCTTGTACAAATCACGAACACAAATACAGATGCTCATGCTGCAATAATCAACCCGGGCAGGGGGTTCACGTAGTTTTTTTGGATCATTTGTTGCTTTCTTTCTGCTGTTGATCCGCTGCTTAATACCCCCACCTCCCTCCGCCAGTAACCTCTGGAGGTGGTGAGAAGAGCAGCCAGCATCACAGCAGGGCTGCCATGGTACCGAGTTTTTTTGTTATTGCAGCGAGGCGACAGGAGAGCACGGTTCAGAGGTTATTTGGTGTGCTTACCCCATGATTGTACCCTATAGGCTTGACACGGCCGCAGGAGGCTTTGGGAGGTTTGCAGGCTGCTGGTTCCTGAAGGACTTGTTGCAAAATAGTTTAGTGTTAGATTCTTCAAAGCCTATCCTAAGCTTGGCCATACCTGTACCTTGAGTTGAGGATGAGCATCTACAGCAGGGGTCTCGAACTCCGGTCCTCGAGGGCCGCAATCCTGCATGTTTTAGATGTTTCCTTCTTCCAACACACCTGATTCAAACGATCAGCTCATCATCAAGCTCTGTAGAAGCCGGATAACGATCCTGATCATTTGAATCAGGTGTGTTGGAAGAAGGAAACATCTAAAACTTGCAGGATTGCGGCCCTCGAGGACCAGAGTTCGAGACCCCTGATCTACAGCAATGCTAGCAACTGCATGAAGCCTGTTGATGCTTTGAGCCAAACGTCAGCACGCTTAACGCACAATGACAACGATGTTAATGCTGCTAATGACGCGCCGTCGGCCTTCGGCTATGCAGCAACCGTAGCTGAAAAACACGACTGAGTTTGCTCCTGGAAATGCTGCTCAACCGTTGACGGAGACGAGTCGATGCGTTGCCAGGATTAGACAACAAACAGGTGGCAGGTGCCTCATTACCGCAATATTGCAATTTCCTCTCTTGAGTCAAGTGGGTAACAATCAAATTCCATCCAGTTTGTTGCACCTTTGCGTTCCTGTAGGGAGGCGTAAGTAGTTGACAGTGTTTATAAAGAGATTCATTAGGTTGGCACTTGGGCAAAGATTCTCCTCCAGGAAGTTCTGAGCATCAAACACTTCATTTCCTGCGTATCGGTGGATTTTTATGCACCTATCTGTGCCTTTTTTGCATCAATTTCTGCCTTTATTTCAGGCGCCAGGTGCAAATTCAGAATATAATGGAATTCAATGCAGGCGTCGTATTGCTTTTAAAATGTTTATTCTCCTGCAGATCAACTTCATTTAATATTATCCCTGCTGAGTCGACACACATATAAGCTGGATTTACTCCTCTGCCTTCTTTTGCGTCTTTTGTTTGGGGGAAATAATCTCTTTAAATGTACATGTGGCACCGCTTCATATCAACCTTCCACACAGTGTATATTATGGTAATATATAGCTCATATCTGTGTTTGAATCCTGTACGTCCTAACCACGTTACTGAAGCGATCTACGAACACAGCAGCACAATTTGACGAGAAATGGTTCCAACATTGATCAAATGTTGGAGCTCCAAGAAATCTGAATATGTTGACAACATCACAATGCGTGGTCAGTTTCACTCGAACAAACTCGTCCAACAAAATCCCTCCGGTGCAATAAAATCTGAAGGTACGCTGAGTTTCCCACCCTCACTTTTCCCCCAATGCTGATTTATTTTATTTGTTTTTAACTCACTGGGGAAACACTCTTTTAATACTTCAGCACAATAAAATCCAGCATTATTTGTTCCCATCTGTAACTAAAAATGGCTTCACTATTATGTCTATCAGCTCTTTACCTGCTATTGTCTGCAGCGCGTACGCTAATTACTGTTCCGCTGTACCACATGCAATGAGTTATGGATTGATATCGAGCGCTTCTTCGCCGGCGCACGCACGCACGCGGCGTGAAAGCGGTTTAATGGAAAACGTCACCGCAGCCTCTTTTTTAAAAATCTATTTTCCTCCTCGGCGCCGACAGCTGCTCGGTGCAATTTATGCCATCCTAAAGCAGGGTTAAGTTTCAAATCGCATCAGACTGTTTATCTTCCACGCAGGTCTGGCAGTGGTGGAATGGCTTAAGACATTGTGATTGATTTTTGTTGGATGAGGCCCCTTAGGCTCACTCCTGAGCGCTTGTTGTCTTTGTTTATCCTTTCTAGGGGGCTGTTTGCGAGTAACTATACAGAAACCCATTACCTGGAAGATGGCAGCGCGGTCACAGGCCCTCCCAACTTCACGGTATGTTTCATTTTCTGTTTGTTTCATTTTTTTTTGATTAAAGGTGACACAATAAAATTATGATGTTGAATTTGTGATGTTTTTCTTCTATATTACCCGCCCGGCACCTCTTATGAATGTTGGCCTTTTGTGTAGCTCTTCCTTTCCGGACCGGTTCCGCTTCATTGTGCTAATATCGGGAGTCGGCGAGGAAGAAAAGAAAAATTGATATTGCAGTTAGACTCACTTTTAAACCACCTGGAATTGGGCAGTCTTGCGCATAAAGAAGTCCGCGCAGGTGAGTGGGCCCATTTTCAGCCGGCAGATTCATATTTGATGAAATAAGAGGCGAACAGAGGTCAGAGAATAGATTCGGTTTTGAGGGAACAGCTCACTTCCTTTCATAATGGATAAGCTTAAAACCAGCCCTAAAAATGGTTTGCTATGCAGTTCTGCAAGAAAAATATTGAATTAGTGAACATCCAAGTGCACTTCAGCAGCCACATTGACTGTGAAATATTCAACGCCTATCAGTGGATTCATGAGCCCCTGTAAATGGAGATAGCGTATTTATCTAAAATACATCTGTGAAGTCTGTCGAAAGACTCGTCATTTTGCATCATCGACTTTGAATCCAAATCAAGGAGGATGTTCAAGGTTTGTCTGGACACGTGCATATTTCTGGTCAACTAATTATTTCTTAAGTTACAGTTGTACCTTTTGCTACTGTGCTGCGATAAATATTGCTTATATTCATTAAGCTCATTTGCTTTTAAGTACCGTGGGTCTTTGAAAACATCTTCCATGGACCCAGAAATACCCTCCTATTGAAATAATTATTTTGAGGTTTGGGGGTTATAGCATGCAGCATGCTGTAATAAATGATGCAGCCGAGGCACGTGGAGCGGTTTCTGTGCCGTGTAGCTTCCAGCAGCTTTCCTGATTTCAGGGATTTGATCATCTGCAGCTTGCAATTAAATGGCTAATTTTCGTGCGGATACAGGAAATGCATCATAATAAACAGCCCGTGATGTCTGTGTACCAAACGCCCGGCCGACTTATAGCTGAAAATCCGCAAAAGATGAGATTAATGTAATTCAATAATGTCCAACCCACACAGCAAAATGAACAATATTTTCCGCTTGAGACTGCTGTGAGACCGGAGCTGGACCGTCGCTGGTGGGGCTCGGCCAGCTCATCAGAATTGCTGCCATTCCAGAGCGTAAAGACAATGAAGGGGTTGTGGTGGGTCAGCTCGGGGTGGATGCTGAGTCCACGGCTGGAGTTAGAAGGGTTGGGTGAGTGGGTTTGCATTAGCAAAAGCTATTTATTAACAATTAGGGTGTTGTAGTATTTATGTAGGGATGATAATAAATAAAATGTCACACTGTTCTTCGCATATCTTGACAACTGTGCATCCGATTCGCTTCAAACTTGCTGGGTGTGTAGCTGAGGACTTGAGGCAGTGTCGTGCCAAGTTTGAGGTAATTCCGATCAGCGGTAGCTGTTTTTTTGAGGGGGGTCCTTTTTGGCTGCAAGTGGGAGGAGCCTAAGACTTTCCTGTTGCTAGGCAACATCATCAAAGTCCAATGTATGCAGCTGGCACTGCACTAGCAATAACTGAGGATGTCCATCAGCACTTCAGGAGGTGATATGTGTTGTTCTGACCGACAACTGAGTTTATATTCCAATGAAAAAAAATAAAAACCTGTGAAATGCAGGCCGGCAGCACCTCGCTGATAAATCGACGAGAAACCTGTGGACATCTTCTGACCTCCACCCCTCCTCTCATTCCTCTCCCATGACCACAGCCAGCTCTTCATGGGAGGATCTTTTTTCCTGGAAACAAGCAGATCTTTTGAGACTGATCCGCAGTTAATTTATTTGTCCTGCCGGCAGGGAGGAGACTGATATAGTGATCTGGGCAAGGGATCTTTGCGGGTTCAGTTCTGTGTCAAACACAAGGTACTGCTGGGAGTGACTTCAGCATGAGTCAGCCCTCCCTCCGTTCCCTCGATCTGCTTTACGCCCTCTCCCCTTTTCACTAAATTTAAAAGTCCACGTGCAGCACGATAAATAAGTGCCATGTGCTGTAACTGAAGCCGTCCGCTGGGAATATGAATCACCTCCGCGGACGTTAAGGTGTTAACTCTGAATAATAAATGCATGCTAATGATAAACAATGTAATGTTCACACCCAGGATTGTCTCCCTCAATAATCAGGGTATTAGTTATTAATCCTCCGTAGTTCAGATATGAATGTGTAAGCACTTTCCTTTCTCATTTCTGTCTGCAGAAAAGTCTATTCATATCCCGTATATCGATGCATCACAGTCATGATCTCATCAAAGAAACATGAGGTGGTAGCATTAACTCAGTGTACTAAATCCAGCCCTGCTCCTCCCCACTAAACTAAAATTTCATATTTCATATAACGCTCCATCCTGTCTTTGCACCATTTCGCTTTGCCGTAATGGATCGTTCTCCTCCAGCACACCACCAGAAAGTGTCCGAGTAGGTAACAGCGTTCAAGGGAGCGCTTCCTGAAGTCTTTTGTCAAATATTTCTTTCTCTACTCTGTTATTAGCAAAAAGAAAAGAGTTGTTTTCTGCCACTTTGGAGACAACAGAACAACTTGTAAACACATCACTTGGTATTGTTGTGGGCATTGGGGAAGACATAACCACACAGCCAGTAGACATGAAGCAGCTTTAGCGTCTGAAGATGTGTTACTGATTCAATACACACCAATCAGACTGGTGGATTGATGAATGACATTGATCCTTTTCTTGCAATGTTCTGCTGGTAAATCTTGAGTTCTGCCATTCATGTGGATGTAACGTCACTTAAACACACCACTCTCAGCAGCCAGCAGGACAGTGGACCTCAAGCATGGCTGGAAGAACACAACAAAGAGCCCGAGGTGTTGATCCGGCCTCCAAATCCCCCCAGATCCCGATCAGAGGAATGCTCAAACCCAATCTACCTGAACCTGCAATGTCCACAGGTCACCCTCAGAGGTCCTGTGTCCATAGCACAATGGGTCAGAGGTGTTTTGGTGGCGCGATGGGAACCTACACAATATTAGGTGGCTGGTTTTAATGTTGTGGATAATTGGTATCGACCCAACATTCATTTGTGTAGAAAGACCATTGCTAAAAAGGTGTTTTTGTCACTGCATGTGGCCCTTTTCCAACATTAGTTACTTATTCAAGCCATGCTAGATATAAATATTCACGAATGCAGCTTTAAATATGAAGTTATTTATAACTTGCTGCTTGAAATTCAAACGAAAATTGATTAAATTAGGAGATTTTTAAGAATTCTGATTCAAAAAAAATCCCATTGAACCTCAACCTAACTTGGGTGGCGAGACTAAAAGGCTCTATTTAGCGAGGCTGTTTTAACTTGCTCGTGTCAGAAGTGAGAAAACATTAATTGGATTATCATTACAAGATTACTGCGAGGAAGCACCGTGATGCAAGATTAGGCAAGGATTCCCTTTAATACCAGAAACCCATTGAGACACCCAACATGCAAAATCAGCAGCCTCTGGAGGTTAGCCACCTTGAAGGAGGCCAGACGTAGACATTTACTGCCTGCTCGCTATATTTAGAGGCAGTCAAAGTGGGGTGGAAAACTCCCATTTCCTTGTTTTCCAGAACAGGGTGGCAGAAGGTCTGTCGGTCAGACCTCACCTGAGCGAAGCTCTCCGACTGTAGCAGAAGGCCTGTTTTCTCTCTAAACCAGACGCTTCCTCCCCGCCCTCTCGCTGCCAGGCTTCGTTCAATAAACACAGGCTTAATTCACTTTCTTTACTCCCCGCTGCAGCTTGACAGGTGGTCCATGAAAGTGGGTACCTGGGAATGCAGCAGAAAGCAGCAAAGCTTGTGCAGGGAAATGTGAAACTCTTAGACTTGAGCCATCATTAGCCGGTGGTGATGAGAGGGACTCGCTTCTGCTAACCTGGCAGAAGACGACATCCTGCACTTAATTCACTTATGTTTCACAGTTAACACCTGGGACCGGTGCAGCTGAACAGTGCTTAAGCCTGAACTCGTGTGTTATTTCACAGCCGTGATATTCTTCCAGTCTTGCATTTTAAACCTCTAAGTTGTCTGATTTGTGCCCCCTCAGGCAAACTGCTACTACCACGGTGAGGTGGAGGGTCATGTCAACTCGGATGTCAGCCTCAGTACCTGCGCTGGGATTAAGTAAGTGTGTCAGACGCTATCTGTTCTCCATGTTTTTAGTCAGAACACGCTCTCCCTGACAATTTTATTTTAAGTCGAGTCTCGGGGTTTTTTTTTTTTTAAAAGAGGATTCAAGTCCAAGTCTAGTCACGTGTCTTCCTGAGCAAACTGCAAGTCATGATGCACGTGTTTTGTTGAGACAAAGTTCTTTCAATGCTGATAACTAAATATTCCTAGCTGAGTATGTGGACATGTAAAGCATGCCTATATTGTTTTTATTGCTGTATACATGAGGGTGCTTCAAAAGTTCTCTGCCTCACCCAGAAACAAAGGGCGTAACTCCTGTTTTGGGGCATGACGGTATATTACAAAGCCTTATATCGCTGTCCACAAAAACTCAAGTGTTTGTCATCAGTTCTTTTGCAAGTAGAGGAGAACTCCAAGCTCGCATGCTGTTTCTGCAGGACAACATCCACACAGCTCAGGTAGCAGAAGCAGCCGAATGTGGCTTTAAGGAACCTGACTGACCCGACCTGCACCGTCTGACTTCCCAAACTGAATCTTATTTGCGTGGTCGCCAGTTTCATAATGATGATGAGGTCGTGCCTGCTGTTGTCAAGATGTGACCTTCTTCTATGAAGGGGTAGAACTTTTTGAAATAAAAGATTTTTTTAAACAGCATTTTCTCGAGATAACGAGATAACTATTCCGTTACCTCGGGAAAACGGCGTTCGTTTTCTCGAGATAACAAGATAATTGTCCCTGGATACTGATGCCTGTGTTTACAAAGAAACGAGTGACGCTCTGGAGTGCAGCAGTGACTTCGAATGGACTGAAAATGTCAGATCGAGGATCATCATGAGATGATGGATTTAACACAAACACCAACTATCTCGTTATCTCGAGAAAATGAAGTTGGGTTTCTCGAGATAAATTATCTCATTTTCACGAGAAAACGATTCTTGTTATCCCGAGATAACAAGAAAATTAACTTGTTATCTCGAGAAAACGGCGAAGAAAGAACAGTCGTGGAAAACGACCGCTCTCGGCTTCCGTACTTTGGGTCTAAAAGTCACAAGTCACCAACAACTTAATATTGCAATTGATAACAAAAATGCCCATTTTAAACTGCCCCACTGTAAACTAAACAGATCAACATGCACTCAGTTTTTTTTTCTGTGCGAGGAGGTGGATTAGTACCAGTATTCCTGGTGCTCACGTTTGGCTTCACCGCCAAGTTCCGATGACTTAACTGAGGTGGTAAAACTGCTGGTTTATTTAAAAACCTCTTAGTTAGACGCTTGCTTCGGTCAGCGCGGCGTAACTAAATCGTAAATTTTGCTGCATCAGTAACCTTAGATGACACTCTGTATATATACGGCTGGAAAGCAGCAAACCTGACATCCTGTGAGGGGCTTCGCTGTTGGAAACGCTCTGTTTGCAAATGTCAAACAGGAGTAATGATTGCAGCAATATCATTGGACACACATCAGGAATGTTTTCATACACCAGCCAGAAACATCTACACCCTCGGCAGAGTGATTTAGCCGATCGCGAAGCTCCGCCGCCGACCTCGGTCCTAATACTTATTTATTTATTTATTTTAGTTGTTTTTTTTTCCTGCAACCTGTCTGCACGCAGATCGATCAGTGGAACTTTTCTTGACAGCGGAGCTACACATTGCTTGACCTGCTCTCAGAGACAAATAGTTTGGGTTGGCAGTGCTCAGGCTCGTGGGGGTGGTGGTGGTGGTGGAGGGGATTCGTATGAGTTCATGTGGATGTGAATATTGTGCAAGGTTTAAGAGATTCTCACAGTTTATCCAGACTCGCTGCGGGAGGATGTCACTTTAAATCACCGAGGCTGCCGTTACAAAATGAGAAAGCAGAAACAAAGACCACATGGTTGATAGAGTAAAATAAACTGCTGCTCGCCGTGAACGATGTCTGCCACTTGATCACGAGGAGCTAATTCGAGTTGTGGCCTCCATTATTACACGGCGTGATGTCGGCCGACGAGCACACTCATAGCTAATGATGTATCGCCCTTTCTCGCCGTAATGGGATGTAACGCACGAGTCGGGATCACTTTCATTCAGCCAAATGAGCGTTCTCCTTCCTTCGAACCTCTGAGAGCCTCTTCCTCTTTCTTTGCAGGGGTTTTATATCTCTTGGAGGCAGATCTTTCGTCCTGGAACCGTGTGCCGATCACTCTGATGGGACTCACTGGATCTACACAGCTGAACACCTCAAGTTTGCTCCTGGCACCTGCGGCCACGATTTCAACATATCCTATCCCACTTCGCATGCAGACGGCGGTCCGTTCAGGGCCTTCAGCACAAGGGTAAGAATTATTAAACTGTCTACATTGCACCGGCGGCTACAAAGGTCTCCTTTTCTTTTTTTCTTTTTTTATTTCTTAAATTTAGAGTACAGACATAACAGAAAACGAGGGTTTGGGCGAGATGGGGGTTGACATGCAGCAGAGGTTCGACTGGAAACAGAGACGCTGTGGGTTATGGTCGCCACCTCACACTGTTGAACTTTCTTTGTGTTGCTCCTTTTTTTACTTACCGTGGGCTCAGACAAAACTAAAGTTGTTGTATTTGGCCTTAAACACATTAGAAACACGCTATCTAACCGTATAGTTACTCTGGACGGCCTCCAGCACGACTCGGAGGAACACTGGAGTTATTGTTGAAGAGGATAACTCACACATGACTTACACATGAGACAGAACTTCCTGCGTTCACCTGTCTGAAAGGCTCAAAATCAGCAACATCCCCTCTGAGTGATGCTGATTTTTTATTTTTTTTACTTCTAGTGTAGATTGTAGTAATTCCCTTTTATCCCAGTAATTCTCTGAAAAAAATCCAAATCTTGCAGGAACCACAGGAACCAGCAGGAGATATTACAAACCCTCCATATCAGCTTCTCTTCATTGATTTCCTATAAAATCCAAAGTAGAATTTAGAATCCTTTCCTCACATACAAAGCCCTTAATGACCAAGGTCCATCGTATCCTTAGGAACTTGTTGTACCGTCTTATCCCAGTAGACCACTTTGCGCTCTGAGTGCAGGCTTACTGGTTCCTGGAGTTTCTAAAAGCAGAATGGGACGTAGATCCTGTAGCTATCAGACTCCTCTCCTGTGGAATCGGTTCAGGAGGCAGATATCCTCTCTGCTTTTAAGATTTTGCTGAAAACGTACCTTTTTGCTAAAGCTTGTAGTCGGAGTTGACTGTAGGGGCTCCACATGTTACGAATAGACTACAAACAATGCGTGTTTCTTAACTCCAACTACTTCCTGTCACTTTCTGACAAGCTGCCCTGCTGTTAACATGTTTTGTTTCTTACCATGCTGCTTATTTTCATTCTAAATGTTGTTTATTTCTTGTCACGTGACTGTTGGTTGCAGCCGAGTGTCTCGTGGCTTCTCAGCTGCACTTACGAGCACTGAATTTGTCTTTTTTTTACTTGATCTGGTGCATTTTTATGAATGAGGCATGTAAAATAAAGGGATTCTGATCAAACATCACAACTTTTAGCAGATTTTTTAGCTAATTTTTCTGACAGAAACTGGGTTATTTTAAAGACAAATATGCTTTTCAAACAGGCTGCAAGGTGGGGCGGTGGTTAGCACAGTTGCCTCGCAGCAAGAAGGTCGCCGGTTCGCGTCTTTCTGCGTGGAGTCTCCACGTTCTCCCCGTGCAGCGTGGGTTCTCTCCGGGTTCTCCGGCTTCGTCCAGAAACATGTTGAGGTTAATTGCTGATTCTAAATTGTCCGTAGGTGTGAATGTGAGTGTGCTTGGTTGTCTGTCTCTAAGTGTAGCCCTGTGATAGACTGGTTACCTGTCCAGGTGAACCTGCCTTCACCCTGAGTCAGCTGGGATAGACTCCAGCCCCCCTAGTGAGGATTAAGGTGTATATAGATGATGGATGGATGCTTTTCAAACCCATGGATGGGTTTGGGGGTTGAGAGGCTTCAATCCTAAGCAACAGTGGCCCCTCCTGTTTTTTTTTTTTTTTCCAACAAATCAAATTGATTAATCAGGTAGAACAAAATGTATTTCAATCTTAGATCTTCAACTAATTTCGACTTCACAGGGCCTTCAGCGGGTCAAACTGATCAAAGCCGCCTCGCTATAGACGGGCCGCTGCACGTAAATCGATAAACTCTATATCTCTGTTAACGCTTTAGTGAGTACAATCAATAAACCCTTAAATCCTTTAGAAAATAGCTTTCATAGGCGTACTGTGTCTATGATCGGGCCGCTGTTGATGCTTGATATTGTGTGTTGCTGCAACGGATAGCAACTCACAGCAGGTTGATGGTTGTAATATTCCTAATCGATGTGCATTCTTTACATTCTTAGACTCAATAGTACCTTAAGGATCCATAGATTTCCTACATTTTAACCTAATTCACTGCTTTGCTTTTGAGTTTGCAGTCCTTCAGACACACTTTGCCCTACAAATGGCGTGAAGACAGAAAATTGCCAGCCAAAGTGAGAAATGTTTTCTATCTATTATAACCTATATTTAGAGCCTGCGAGCGCAGAATAAGAATAAACCTCACTCCAACCCTCTCTACACATCATTTGTAATGTAGATATTGGTAAGTGGCCTGGTATATGTATTTTAAAAAAGCTGCTACTTGTTGAATTATTCACTTATCCCCTCCATTTGATCCAGGGGCGTCCATTAGTGCTCTGGAGAGCCGAGCTGATAAACGCTCGTGGAAACTACGCTGACTGTTAAGTGGCGACGTTTGCTTTGAACGTGAGCTCAGGCTGAACCGGCGCGACCCGTCCATCCAGACTTAAACCGATTGCTTTTAGGACAGCCCACCCCGTCTACACTCAACCCCCCGCACACAGCGTGGAGATAAATCATACGGGCCGTGCCCCCGGAGCGTCTCTACCCTCGGAGGGGGGATAGGGCTTTAAAGATGATGAGCACCGATAAGTGGAAAACACAGACTCTGGAAGGCAGGAGGTGGACAAACATGATCCGGTTTACCAGATCAGGACGCAGACAAGAACTCATATGGAGGCATAATATAATCATGATGCAGCACAAAAACAAGGGACTTTCCGTTTAGTTAGAACTGACTTTTTACATTTGCAATCATATCATTAAGGAAACACTGAGATCAATGCTGGAAACGCACCAAACACATGGGTTTGCTGGCTGAGACGTTCCATCCGTACTGGTTTCTACTACGTGCTCGCTGAGTAACGGGGGGTTTTCTGAGGTTTTTCTTGTACAGCCCGATCTCTGATTGTGATTAAAGTTCTGGCTTTGGTAGCGTCCATTGTCTCAAGTGTTAAGAGGGCTGTAAAGATTCAGCGCAAGCAAATGAATCCTGACAACAGCACAATGCAGATGTTCCTGCTTGACAGACACAAAGGGGGGATCGGAACAAAGGAGGACTCATATTGACAGTTTATACATGTACGAGGACGATGTGCTAATTCTCTGACATAAGAGGGCTTTTTTTTCTTTTTAATTTGCTTCATCTGATCACAATGTTCTCTTACATTTGTTTAAAACGCTGCCCTTCCAAAGACAACAAGAAAAGAATTAGACGGGCAATCGTCTCGACTGCTGAGTGAAGACAGACGTATAAAGGGAGGTGGCATTAAAACAAAACAGCAAACAGACGAGATAGTAAAGAATAAATATATATATTTCGAATTCCAGTCACCTGAATATAAAGTCTGATGTGCTGTACTCGACGACAGGCAAAGCGAGTTCACCTCAGCATGCTGCACAGGGGCACCGGGGTGTGCACGCTGCCGCTTTGATAAGCTGCAATGTGCCCTGCTTGAGGGTCTAAAGATAAAGAGGTGTGTTGGCAGAGTGCCCCTGGATGATGAGAGTCAGATGGGGTAGAGAAGAGCACAGAGATACGCTGGCAAGCCGACAGAAACTGCACATCAACAGCGCGGGTTCCTGCAAATATACATCGTCTCGGGGTTGTCCGAGACGTCGGACGTTAACGACGTGCGTTTTTTTCTGTCTGTCTTGTGGCTGAAACAGATCATAACAGTTCCTGGAGTGGACGATGTATTGAAAGAACATTTGGATGCCTGCCTGAACTAAACTGCAGAGCTTGAGCATGGAGGTTCACTTGTGTGTAGGGGAGAATATCAGATTGCAAAGGTGCGCTTGATGGGGTGACGAGATAACCGAGTGTTTAAGGTGCATACCACATGGGCTGAAATGCCTTTATTCCTTTGCTTGTTTTATGCCTGTCTCTATTGTAAATAACAGCAAAAAGCCCAAAAGATACACACACTTTTAATTCAGTTTTTGCTTTATGAAGGCTGCGACACGCTGTGCAAAGCATGAACAAAGGGAAGAAGAAAGAATTATTGTTGTTTCCACTTTAAAAGAGTCGGTAGATGTTAGAAATACATGATGATAGTCAGCAGTAGCAGACTCCCTTTATATAAATCTGCTGGAAATCTGGATGCAGTCACCATTATTTTCATGCTCCAGTAGAAGTTTCAGGTTTATAGAGTCAAAAAAAATACGTGTTGTAAAATTCACACCTGCAGCTCCAGCTCACTGGATTCTTTTCAGGAACAGGGGTGCTCTTCGCTGAGTTGTCTGAACATAGTGTCCATGTGTGTGTGTGTGTCGTCTCCAGTGGCCTCCTAGAGACTCGGTAATCACCATAGGGTACATTTGAAGCACACTTGCCCATCCTGGCTTATCTATGGAGGAGGCAGATAAGAGCAGAGAGGATCCAGGCTGCCAGGCCAGCAAGGATAAAGAGGCTCAGGTTGAAAGAGGGCCATGGCGTGAAGGCAGAACCCTTAGCCAGCAGGATAGTATAGGATCTGCAAGCGTGCGAGTGGAAAGAGCAAAGCATGTGCGGGGAGTGTGTTTGTGTGTGCAGGTGAAACAGACTGCAGCACGACATGCGGCGAAAGCGACTCGCTGCCCAGCACGGCATGAAAGAAGCGTCTGCTGCATGGCCGGGAGCTGTGTTTGTCTTGCTCTGGAAGTGTCCCAGATCGGCATTGTTTCCGTACTTTGTTTTACATTTTCACTGACGGATTTCTTCGGTGACCCTCCAAACCGTTGCTGAGTCAACACAATTAGTTCAAGACGTGTTTACGGCGTCCCCATCAGTCCTGACTGCACGATGTGTTTAATGATCATTAGCAAATGTAAGCAAACAAACACACAAAGTAAGATGGAAAGCAACGATGAAAGCCGTCCAATGCTAACATTATTTTCAGCATTGCAAGTTTGGCTATTCGTGTCCATTTAGCTAAAAAAAAAACATGTTATGCCTTAGTAGAGCTTCACAGAGTCTCAAGACATTTAGTTTTGTATTTCCTTTTGTTGATTTTTACACACCGTCCTTCAAGTCTATCAATCGCATACAATCAGCCTTTTCTAGGAAATCTGCAGCCAGTTTAACCCCCTGAGGTCCAAGACGTTTCTGGGCGTCTTTTGCTTTTGGCACATCTTTAGTCTCTGTGGCCTCGTTTTGCGCTGCAGCATAAAATCCTGCACCTCCACGGAAACAGGAAGTAGACAGAACTCAGAATATCTTTTATACAGTAAAAGAAAGTAAAATGCTATAAATCTAATAGGTTACGTTTTTTGAGTATTTGTTGAATTTCCACTGGTGGAATACCAGACAATATGGTGTCTTTACTGTAGATATTTAACTGTTTACATTCTGTTCTACATCTGCTCTGCCTGCAGTTCAATCTAGTAGATCCAAAAAGCCCCTGAACTGTTGTCATGCATTCAATTACAGTATTTTTTTTTTTGTTTCATACACACTTCAGTTACTGTAAATGTCGAGACATGTAGGATAAAGGGATTTTAATGAAATAGTAAACTTTTAAGCTGAAATCTGGCTTCTTTTTTTTGTTTTTACAGTTTCCAGTCCTGAAAAATGGCGTCTTTTTTTTTTTCCATTTTAAGATACCTCGTCTTTCAAACCTTGTTAAATGAAAATGTTTTATTTCCCATAATTCACTGCCTCTGATTCTTCCCACCAATTCAAAGCACAGAACTGTGAAAATCTTTGAGCGAACCAAAAGAGACGCAAAAGAAAAGGGGAAGATTTGAAAACTCGCATTTTGGATTTGTCCTGTTTGGTTGTATGAACACATCCCACTAAGCATGCAGGTGGAGTCCCTGCAACAGAACCATAAATCAATACTTTACATATCACATTCTCTCTCTTTTTTTTCTTTTTTTTTTTTTTGGAAGCAACGTTGCCTGCAGCATTGTCCAAAAACACTGATTTATTAGTTAATAAGCTCGCTCCTGTAGAGCGCCATTAGATTGTGTGACCTTAGCGCCTCTTATTGGGTCAGACATGAAGGGCAGCTGATTGCTTCCCTGCTTCCTTTTGTGCCGTTCAGGTGAAAAGCCGTGCGTCGTTGCCACCTACTGAATCTCGGCTGCCCTTTCCAGAAAACTGCAGCGAAGTGCTTCCTCCTAATGTCTCTCTCCTCTCCCCCCTTTTCTTTTCATCTGCTGTTTCATCACATTGTCATTTTCGCTCTCCGTCCTCGCTCTCATTTTCTGCCTTTTCTCCTATCTGTGTCACCTTCCCTTTTTTCTTTCCCCTTCCTGTCACTTTCTCTCCCAGCACAAGCGCCACGTCCAGACCACAACCAAGTACGTGGAGCTGATCATCGTGGCCGACAACAGAGAGGTGAGCGGAGGTCGCCGGGTTTCTTCGGGGGAAAAAAAAAAAAAAGGCTCACGGGTCATATGCTAAATCTCCCACTTTCACCTGGAGACACAGATAAGATTGGCTTGTTGTCGCCTCTGATGTGGCCACTTATCCGTCCTTTACACTCTACTCCGAATACATCATTTGGCCACTTGACTCACAAATGAGGCGAGTTCTTCATGAATAATCTCACATCTTAAGATCTCACAGAGAGCTAAGAGCAGATACCTCGCCGGCTTCAGACATGTAGGTCAATGTCACGCTTTGGAGGCTGATGAAACGTTAGATACAAGACAAGGTGGTTGGGGTTATCTTTCTAGTCTGAGCGCCGCTGAGGAGTTAAGACCGAAACAACGTTAATTCAGCCCAAACGCTGTGTTTGATGACAATAAACATTCAACAGCATGGATCACCTCTTTCTCTCCTCGCTTTATCCTCTCTCTCCCTTTCTGTCCATATTGTTCAGTTTCAGAAGCAAGGCAAGGACATGGAGAAGGTCAAGCAGCGGCTGGCTGAGATCGCCAATTACGTGGACAAGGTAACAATTGAATCAAAAGAGGCGAACGCAGTGTTGGAATGTGATTCATTAGAGGTCACATCGAGCCCGCTGAAATTTAACCGACCTGCGAGCGGGGGGCTGATTAGATTATGAACGGATGATCAATTTCATAACTCGGCTGAGGAATGTTGGTGAAGAGGGGGCCGGCGTAATAGATCGTGCGGCGGGCTTGGCGGTTTAATAAAACAGGAGCGAAAAGAGGCGATTTATTCAGGCGGAAAGTCGCGCGTTAATAAATGTTTAAGCATTTCTTCAGAGCCCCTTTTTATTAAAGTGACTATTTTATAGAATTTGTGTTTAATACGTAATGTACAGTGAAGCCGGTAACAGAAAACGTTCATAAAGCTGAAGCTACGTCTCTCTCTTCCTTCTTGCCGTCAGTTCTACAGGGCTCTGAACATCCGTGTGGCTCTGGTGGGCCTGGAGGTGTGGAGCGACGTGGACAAGTGTCCCATCACCCAGGACCCCTTCACCACTTTGCACGAATTCCTCGACTGGAGGAAGGTGAAGCTGCTGCCTCAGAAGCCACACGACAACGCCCAGCTCATCAGGTGGGTCCGTCACTGCAGCAAACAAACGCAATAACTGTGTTCAGGACGTATCAGTTGCTTGAAAGGTTTGTTTTTTTTCCCCCCTGAAAATTACACAAAATTGCACAAAGTCAAAACAAACAACACAGTAATGCTTAGAGTGGGTTTTATTTATTTCAAGCAAAGTGAAATATGATGTTTTGTAGTGTGACTGCTGTTTTTATTTTCGAGCTACCCAAGGGCAAGGGCATTTTGGATTTTTTTTCCACAACCAGCAGTCACGGTTTTGTTTGATCAAAGTAAATTTAAATTCCTACCTTGTAAAACGCTTTCCTGAGTCAGTCTTTTGCCATTTGCAAGCTGTAAAAAAAAAAAAAACATTCTCATGAGATACCAACGAAATGCTGACTGCATAAAAATGTGAACAAATCCACATCTTTCTTTCATAAAAAACATGTTGTGTTAGTTTAAAATGCAAAGTGGAAAATGGGCAGAAAGACTGAAAAAAGAGAAAAAAATACTTTTACAGAGAGACTAGACATATTCTGCATAGATGATAATGGTATATAGGTGAGCAGATGAGATGGAAGTCTTTAGTTTCTTTGCTTAAGTGAAAGAATCAATGCAGGAGTGTAAAAACAATCCGTTGCAAGTAAAAGTCCTGCACAAAAAATCATACATAAATACTACCAATACCAAAGTAAAAGCATTCATTTGGTTCCTTTGACTTTACATACACTTGTAAAGATCACGCATGTCGTGGCAGTCTTGAGTTTCCAATACAACTCCTAGAATTATAACACGAGTCTTTGTCACAAAAAACAATCCTGCATGTTGGTTCTTCTGGAAATATGACAACATCTGCTGGGTCAAATATGTAATCATGCTGAAGAACCACTGCAAAGGAGAGTTTAAATACAGTTTTAAATATATTTGATTAGATGGTTAATGGGAGTGTTCTCATAGATTGATCGTAGCAACTGGACTTAACTGGAC